TGCAGAACTGCAGTCAGCTGAAGTAGCCTGCAGTGCTGCATTTAACCACTGCGTCACCTCGGCTCCATATATTACTATGGAAGGAATGTTTTAATGTTTTAATGTTTTAATGTTTTATAGACACTTATTTTATCCCTCAGGGAATAGAACCATTTTTGCATTCTTTAGGTAACAAGGTAAATCCACAGGTTCAATTCATTTTTTTAAAAAAAAATATTATCAAATAAGTTATCTCAAGCAATCTATCACATTTCTAAATAAACTGTGATAAGAAATTGCATCATCAACCACAATGATTAATGAATTTCTTCACAGTGTGTGTGTTTGTGTGTCTGTGTGTGTGTGTGTGTGTGTGTGTACTATTTAATTAACATGCTATTTTAATCTTGAAAAATTATATGAAGACATCTGTAATAAAATTTTAAAAATCAAACATATAGACATCTGTCAAGTTTCTAAAATTTGTGTTTCGCTTTTTAATCCCGCTTTGGGTTATAATCCCAACTTCACAAAAGGAGATCTTCGTCCCAAAATTTATCAGAAAGTTTACGTTTTTTGTAAAACCAAGGCAGTTACACTATTTCCAGTTCTTCCTCTAAAACAGAAGGTTGGTGTTGGCAGTTCCTCCAAAAGCAGAAAACCTATGAAATATAAGGAAAATATTTCTATTAAAAGAAAGCCTTGTTAATCCTTTAAATTCTGATATTAATTCAAACGGAATGCGTACAATACAGCAATTATTGCAAAATTTAGAAGAGCGATAACTTTACAGTGTTGCTCAATATAAGCTGCACATAAATAAAAGGTTATCAATAATAGAAAATTCAGTTTCAGGAAGTACACATACAAAATTATTTTTCTTGGAGCCAGAAACCAGTTATTAGAAAATCTAAATTGTATTTCCTGTAACATCTAGAAGTTTAGTCTTGGTTTTAATAATCTTTTTGCATGCTGTTTTTATCACTATATCAAGTGATAAAAAAAATTGATATAATGAGAAAATGAAATGAGAAGAAGCCAGAGAGAATATGGGGTAGTGTCATATTTTTAATAGGAATAGGCATTAACACCTTATTTTCAAGTATTCAAATAGAAATGTGTGGGATAGATTATTATTAAACTATCAATTGGATATGTTACAAAAACCTTAAATGCTTTTTGTTAGTAAGTCTTCCAACTAGCCTCACTCTGTCTCACAAAAGGTTAATGACCAAGGCTTCAACGTTTTGATTTAGAACAGAACTACACGTGCTTTATATGGTTCACCGACAAAAGGGCGCCCGATGAAACCGCGGTGACAAAACCGCGAGTTCTAAACCACGCCGATGAATGAGCGCTGAAGCGCACCAACAACAGCACGCCGACAGAAGCGCGCTCTAAATCTAACCCTAACCTTAACCCTGACCCTAACATTAACTTAAATCACGCTTCTGTCGGCCCGCTGTTGTCGGCGCATTGATGACGTTGCAGTTTTCGTGCCGCGGTTTTGTCACACTTGTCGTGCGCGCATTTGTCAGGTCACTACTTTATATACCCTACTGCAAATAATAGATGTTTTCCCTGCCAGAGTCAAGCTGCTGTTCACTTAAAAAGCAGCTTTTAATTTTGGTATCCATACAATAAAGTAGAAAACAAAGCTTTTAAGTGCTGACATGCTTTCTTTGATACATTACTGTAGTATAATAATTAAGAATGTAACACAGAAGCAACCAATAGCACACCTGAGTTAAAGGCAAATATATACTTCATTTTTCAATACCCTATTTATTTTGAAGATAAAATGTCTGTTGCCACATATTTCAACTGAAATTGAGGAACTTGGAAACTAATTAAGCTGTTTATAACTTAGATTGAACTTCAGATCATCAACCTTTTCAGAATAAGGATGTAATAGCCCTTAATCTTACAAATTCAAATGAAGATGAGCATAAGAATGCTTACTAATGCTTTAATATAGATTGGATCTAATAATAGCATCCGAGGAACTGGCTCATCTCAATGGGATGAATCTGCTCCATATGCACTCGGAGAAGAAGCAGTCACCATCGGAATTTCATTTCATTTCATAAGGAATTTCAGTGCAGAGGAGTCTTTCTGAAAGCCACTTCTGCCCCCACATAAATGAGATCCACTGCTTACCCACCCTTCTGAAAGGGTTGAAGAGTTGGTTCCGCCATTTTGGAGGACGTTAATGGATTAGATCAGAAGTCTTAAAACTTGGCAACCTTAAGACTTGTGGACTTCAACTCCCAGAATTCTCCAGCCAGCTGGAATTCTGGGAGTTGAAGTCCACAAGTCTTAAAGTTGCCAGGTTTGAAGACCTCTCAATTAGATAGATCCTACCTTGTTCTGACCCCCCCTTCTTCACTCGTTCACAGNCAACAACAAGATATCATTGTAATATGTTCTTAAGGTTATACATTATATCACCAATCCTCTATCAAGTTTACATAAGATCGTTGTTATCCTTATCCTTTGGGAATCTTAAATTGGGCTTTGAGCCTCTTGTGGGAAGTCAACCAGCCATTCCTGCTTTATCACCCGCAGGGATCCTTCCGGGCCGCAGGACCACCAAGCCAATGAGCCTGGGAATGACCCTCCTGAGCAGGATTTGTCCAAAGTGGGGCACCCCCTGCAGGAAGGTAAGGCTCCATGGACGTTAAGAGGTCTGGAGGCTAAATCGTACCAAGAACGGTTGCAGGAATAGGGGTGTCTCCAGCCCAGGGGTCCCCAAACTCAGCCATTTTAAGATTTGTGGACTTCAACTCCCAGAATTCCCCCCAGCTAGCTAGGGAATCCTGGGAGTTGAAGTCCATAAGTCTTCAAGTGGCCAAGGTTGTAGAGCCCTGTTTTAGGGGGTCTCTCCTGCCAGCCCACAACTCCTTAGCCGGCATGGAGGGCAGGAGTGGAAGGCTAGGAGTTCTGATTGAGATGGACCCAACTCCGTCCTCGGTTCGTTTTGAGAGCCGTGTCCCAAAAAATCAACCTGCAGAGCGTAAACTTTGGAGACAAATTCTGGGCCCAGCCGAGGCCCTTGGAGCAGAAGTTCTTGGCTGGCTTCAGGGTGAAGGACAGGATGCTTTTCCCAGGCCCCTTTTGTGGAAACCCCCTTTCCACAGATGCGTCCTTCTTTCTTTCTTCCCCTCCCGTAGGAAACATTCTTCTTCTTGGAAATATTTTATTATTTTGCGAGGGCAGAGACCACCAACTATTGCAAACCGATTCTTCTGGTGACCCATCTGGTTTGCTTGCCATCCAGCGAGGAGGAGGACTGTGGGGTCCTTGGTGCTCTCAGAGCTGGGTGGTTTTCCCAAGGTCTAGATCGGCTAAAATAACCTTTCTTTCTTTTCTTCCTTCCTTCCTTCCTTTTCTTTCTTTTTCTCCATTATTCTCTCCATCCCTCCATCCCTTTCCTTCCTTCCTTCCTCTCTCCCTTTTCCTTCCTTCCTTTTATCTTCCTTTTTCCTTCCTCCCTCCCACCTTTTCCCCACATTCCTTCCTCTTCCCGCCTCCCTTCCTCCCACCTGCCCTCCCCTTTCTCTTCCTTTTTCCTTCCTTCCTCACTCCCTCCCTTTTCTTTCCTTCCTCTCTCCCTCCCTCCCCCCTTATCCTTTACTTCCACCCCTCCCTCTCCTTTCCTCTCTCCTTCCTTCCTTTCCTTCCTTGCTCCCTCTCTTTCTCTTCCACTCCTTATCCCTCTCTCCCTCTTTCCCACTCTCCTTCCTTCCCTCCCTCTCTCCTTCCTTCCTTCCCTCCCTGCCTAGGAGGCCCCCTTCTGTTCAAGGAAGTCCAGCTTGTCTTCAATTCCCAGCAGCTGAACGGGACGCAGCGAGTCCTCCTGGATAATGTCATCTCGCCAAGCGAATGCCAGGAGCTGGAGCACATCGCCAAAGTGAGTAACTGCCCCTCGGTGGGTGCCAGAGCAGAGGGTACCTCTGAGTAGGGGGTCCAGTGGCCATTTGAGGCCCGTGAGGGCTGCCTGGCCCATCTCTGTGAGTAGAGGTGATCATGAAGCCTCTTGGAGAACCGAGCCCTTGAAGGTGCCACGCTGAGGGAGATGCCATCAATTGGATCAATAGTTGTCCAACATCTTCTTGAAAACCTCCAATGATGGAGCACCCATAACCCCTTGTGGCCAGCTGTTCTTCTGGTTAATTGTCCTCCCTGTTAGGAAGTTTCTCCTTAGTTCCAGGTAGCTTCTCTCCTTGATTAGTTTCCATCTGTTGTTTCTGTTTGGAGAATAGGTGATTAAAGTAACAGAATAATAGAGTTGGAAGGGAGCTTGGAGGTCTTCTAGTCCAACCCCCTGCTCAGCCAGGAAACCCCTATACCATTTCAAATAGTCTCCCAATCTCTTCTTGAAGGCCTCCAGTGATGGAGCACTCACAAGTTCTGGAGGCAACTTCTGTTCCACTGGTTAATTATTCTAACTGTCAGGAAATTCCTCCTTAGTTCTAAGTTGCTTCTCTCCTTGGTTAGTTTCCACCCATTGCTTCTTCTCCTGCATCTTCAGGTGCCTTGGAGAATAGTCTGACTCCCTCTTCTTTGTGGCAACCCCTGAGATATTGGGACACTACTATCATGTCTCCCCTGGTCCTTCTTTTCATTAAACAAGACACACCCAGTTCCTGCAACCATTCTTCGTATGTTTGAGCCTCCAGTCCCCTCATCCTCTTTCTTGCTCTTCTCTGCACTCTTTAGAATAGAATAGAATAGAATAGAATAACAGAGTTGGAAGGGACCTTGGAGGTCTTCTAGTCCAACCCCCTGCCTAGGCAGGAAACCCTACGCCACTTCAGACAAATGGCTATCCAACATCTTCTTAAAGACTTCCAGTGTTGGGGCATTCATGACTTCTGAAGGCAACTTCTGTTCCCCTGAGATATTGGAAGATGCTATCATGTCTCCCCTGGTCCTTCTTTTCATTAAACTGGACATACCCAGTTCCTGCAACCGTTCTTCATGTGTTTTAGCCTCCAGAGCCCTAACCATTGGTCTTCTCCTGCAGAACATCCTCCTGGCTGGTGATGGCTACAGGGGGAAGACTTCTCCTCACACCCCGAATGAGAAGTTCGAAGGAGCCACCATCCTCAATGCTCTGAAGGTAAGAAGGTGTTGTGTCAAGCTGGGCCTGTCCTCCTGTGTGGAGGGAACATCTGGAGACCCCCCAAAGCTGGTTTAGATCAATTCCATCAGCAACTCACGAGACAATTGTGTGACTAACTCAGAAACTGCACTGATTCACCTGAAAGGTTCTAAAATGGGGCACAACTCACTTAACAACAGATATTTTGGCTTCAATTGTAGTTCTAGTCTTCACTCCAGTGTGAAAAATGGTCATAAATCCCTTTTCTTGGTGCCGTTGCAACTTTGAACATTTACTAAACGAATGGACGAAAGTCAAGGACTAAAAGAGAGAGAGAGGGAGAGAGGGAGGAAAGGGGAGAGAAAGAGAGAGAGCAAAGGAAAGAAAGAGAGAGCGCGGGGGAAAGAGAAAAAGAGGGAAAGAAACAAAGAGAAAAAGAAAGAGAGAAAGAGAAAAAGAAAAAAGAGAGAGGGAGAGAAGGAAAGACGTAAGAGAAAGAGAGAAACAAAGCAAAAGGGAACGAGAAAGAGAGAGAAGGAATGAAAGAGAAAGAGAGTGGGAGAGAGAGGGAAAGAAAGAGAGAGTGAAAGAGAAAGAGACAGAAACAAAAAGAAAGAAAGAAAGGAAAAGAGAGAGAGAAAGAGAGAGAGGGAGGGAGGGAGAGAGCAGGAACAAAAGAGGGAGAAAGAGAGAAAGAAAGAGAGAAAGAAAGAGAGTGGGAGAGAGGGAAAGAAAGAAAGGGGGGAAGAGAAAGAGAGAAACAAAAAGAAAGAAAGAAAGAAAGAAAGAAAGAAAGAAAGAAAGGGAAAGAGAGAGAAAGAGAGGGAGGGAGCAGGAACAAAAGAGGGAGAAAGAGAGGGAGAGGGAGAGGGAAAGAAAGAAAGAAAGAGAGAAATAAAGAGAGAGAGAGAAAGAGTGGGAGAGAGAGGGAAAGAAAGAGTGAAAGAGAGAGAAACAAAAAGAAAGAAAGAAAGAAAGAAAGAAAGAAAGAAAGAAAGGGAAAGAGAGAGAAAGAGAGGGAGGGAGCAGGAACAAAAGAGGGAGAAAGAGAGGGAGAGGGAGAGGGAAAGAAAGAAAGAAAGAGAGAAATAAAGAGAGAGAGAGAAAGAGTGGGAGAGAGAGGGAAAGAAAGAAAGAGTGAAAGAGAGAGAAACAAAAAGAAAGAAAGAAAGAAAAAGAGAGAGAGAAAGAGAGGGAGGGAGGGAGAGAGCAGGAACAAAAGAGGGAGAAAGAGAGGGAGAGGGAGAGGGAAAGAAAGA